TTATTTAGGATTCGTGCAACGACTTCGTGGTTGAATGTGCAAACAGTTAATACCCCCAAAACTGGAATGTGCAACGATGATGTTTACAGTAATGCAATTTTAAGCGTTGTTGGTAGAGATATAAGATTGGCAAAAAGGGTAGTAACACGTTAAAAAGTAGTGCACCTTAGAGTTAAGAAGCGGTGCAACTAAATAACGAATAAGATAGACGAAAGTGTGCAACCTACGTAATTATGTAAATGGAAATTTAATTTAAGAGCCAAACGAACGAGGCTTGTAAATTGACTGGCTTGTGCAACGTAACTGTGTATCTTGTTGAAAATGTAATAAACACATAACATTTGGTGAAATAGCTAGACAGTGGTAGTATAAAAGTGACGAGGACGTCGATTGTGTAACCAGAACACAATTTATTGTGCAAAACTGTTATAGTACCCAGTTAATTTTGTGCAACGATGTGAGAGTAGGTTGCACAAGGGTGAAATTTAACCACAACACGAAAATAACATGAAAAATAACACTCAAAGACAAACTCCAAACATTTATTCAAACAAAAGGAAACGACAATAGTCACCACATGGGCAGAAAACTGTAAACAAAACAACTGAAAGTCTGAAACCAAACTCAAATAATAATTCAAATGGAAAAGCAAGCTTAAATTTTCTCTTTGCGCATGGGGCAGGTACGACTATTATGACCATACTCGTCACAGGTGTGACATTGTCATTAACGATGTTTCGACTTCTCGACAGCTAACTCCCGAGTACTTTTGAAACGTTTGCCACAACCCTTGTTATTAGAGAGAGGAGGACGACGAATATCAACGTCACCAACAGTAGAAGTACCGCAAAAGGACTCAAAAAGTTATTTCTTAGAAATAGACGGGTCAGCGTTGGCAATATTTCCTGCAACGAACCCAGCATTCAAGTCTTTCAAAGCTCTAGTGACCGTCAAGACATGATCAACACTCTTTGAAGTCATGGTGATGCACGAATAAAATTATGCCCATGCTGCACCGATAGCAACATCTACATCTGCAATCTCCCCACGTTGAACACCCAACAACTGTCAAACACAAGCATCTCTAGTCCACCGTGCAACTACGTACCGAGAGGGAAAAGAATCAACCCTACGCTCCTTGAAAACCTAACAAATATGACAACAAAGTAAACCCCTCCGTGTAAACAAGTTACCCGTGCACTCAACACCGGTATTAGAACAGTCAAACATCACCATGTGCACCAAATCTTCATCATCTTGAACCTCAAAACAGGTTACCATCCCATCGACATTTGAAATCACCAGACGACACGAAAAAGAATCTGCAACAACCTCAGCTTGAACATCGTAAAAGACATTTATAGTATATACTGCAACTGCATGCCTCTCAATCAACAATGGTGTCTTGCACAAAGGAAAGTGGCCCTCATAATTCGCATTTAGTTTGGCCTGCGTCTGACGTTGGGCATCAATAGCTCCTTCAAGATTGTTGAACAACTCCGACAGACTAGCATGATGGTTTGTGCAATTACCAAACACGCTATTTGCAGCCTCCGACCTAGATGTTGTACAAAGCAAACCACCCATGAAAACATCATTAAAAAACGCAAGGATCCAAAACAATCTCAAGTCATACATAAGACAAAACCACCGGTGCTCAACGAGGTTATACTTTTCCATTACCTCAAGCCACCCATGCTCAAAGTCATCCACAGACAACATCTCATTACAAACAACATCATTCAAAGCAGATCGAAACTCCTTGTCTTTAGCTAAAACATTACCGACCTTCTCCCCAACCTTTGACATTATATGCCACATACAAAACTTGTGGCGAGTAGTACCAAACACCAAGGGGACCGCAACTATGATGCATCGATGGATCTTGATCAGTGATTGTACAACTAGGAACACGGCCCATTGCACTCTTAAACTGTTCCAAAAGCCAAACATACGAGTCCACATCCTCGCGAGAAATCAAGCCAATTGCAAATGTCACACATGTTTTGTGATTATCAACACCAGTAAAGGGGACGAATACCATACCATACCTGTAAAAAAAATTATGAAAAGCTTAAAACCATCGACATAAAAAAGAAAACATGCAGAGCAATAAAAAAAAAAAAAAAAAAAAAAAAAAAAAACAGAATGACTACAAGCATGACAAAATTGAAACAAAGTTATGTAAATATTTGTTTCAAAAATACGAAGCATCCTATTTGTCCTATATGTCGCATCAAAAGACAGTACATCACCAAAAGCTGCAAAATTTTGTTTCAAGCACCAACGTTCTTAACATACTTGTTCACAACAACATTAGCATCAGAACTACCAATATATGCCATCAAATCACGCTTAAAATTTTTAAAATCAACACATGTCGCACCAATATTAGAATACGACCCAACAAACTCCCTAGACAACCGAAACGACCTATTAGGCCCAATGGTTGCCCTTGCACAATTAATAACAAACACTTGTTGTTGAAAACTCATCTTATGGTTACCCCTTATAAAAGGCTTAGCAAGATCCGAGCACAAACAATGATTATGACGGAGTTCAATGAAATGAACAACAAAACAACCATTGTCAACCATCTTGAGTAACAACTTCGCTTTGCAACCCACCCTATTAGAAACACGACGGCGCTTTTGAGCCAAATGCGCTTCATCAGAGTCAGCATTCCCAACACCCAAAACATCAGCAGACTGCTTGAATCCCTCACGGGAACAAACCAACAGATTTTTTACAACAACATCCCTATCTTTACGCACCGAACTACAACGAATAACAAACCCAACAACATACGCATAATGCCTATAAAAAGCAATACCATGACCAAGAGAAGGAAAAACCTGACCCGCAAAAGGCCTAACAGCCTAATCACACGAAGGATTCCAATACTTAGTCCCATCGAGAGACACGTCCATAACACAAGCCTGTAGAGATCCCTACCGAACTGCACAACCATCAACCACAAAAACTAGGTAAAAAACATGATTAAAAAATGCACAACATACCACAAAAAAAAAAAAAAAAAAAAAACAGACTGTGTCCACAATGAAAACGCCCATACATGCACACTATGTAAACAACCACCACAGCACCAAATGCAAAAAAAAAAAAAAAAAAAAAAAAAAAAAAAAAAAAAAAAAAAAAACCCGATAATAACCTAAATAAAAACTAAAGCCAACACTCCTCCCCGAAACTGAATGTTTAAAAATAAAAAACCAATATCAAAAACAGTATACAAATTTTAAAAAAAAAACGCAAATGAATACTAATAACCAACGAAATCGTCCAAAGCAACAACCCAGTAACAAAAAATTGCAAAAAGATCAAAATGACAAAATCAAAAGAAAAAAAAAATAAACAACACACACGAAAAATATTTTTACCCCAAAGAAAGAAACACACACCGTATATTATATTAAAAATAATTTCTCAGAGCAAAAATAGAGCATAAAAATACATACATAAAAATAATAATAAAAATCAGCAGTATGTTACAACACACTCAACTTAACTAGTGCAGGCATGTGAACCCTACAAACCCAAAACAACCCCCACAACGACAATCTTAAAAACAAATACATAACTACGCACAAAAATAAAAAACAACAATGCACAAAAAAAATTATATTAGAACAAACCGACACCTACACCGGATGGTCAATAACACCCACACATCCACAGATGAATAAAAAAATTGAAGACGCAACAGACCCATCGAAACCCAACAAAAACACAACAAAAAATCTAATACAGAAATACAAAAATATGCACAAAACACCAATTAACGATGCACAATGAATAAATATTGGAGACAACGAAAATACACACCTGGAGAATCCATAGCCCCAACCGCAAAAAAAAAAAAAAAAAAAAAAAAAAAACACAGAGATAACGAAGAGACAATAGTGTCTGACAAAACACAAAGCAACACAACAGAAACCAGTGAACTAGGCCAACAATATAAAGAGACACGGTAAATAACTCAGGAAATCAAAAAAAAAATCTTAATTACCATATTTAAGCCAACTACAATCATGCAATCACCCAAAATAAAATAAACAACTAAAGGAAGGAAAAAAATACAAAGACTAAAAACACCTCACCTAAAGTGGCGGCAACAATTAAATAAAATCTCCCTAAAAATAAACCAAAAAACAATAGCCATTGATGCGTAGTATATTTGGAAACAAATAATACCCAGAGTATCGGGTAATCGATCCACAGGGAAGTGGTTGTATTAAGCACTAGCTACTAAATTATTCTATGAAGCTAATCCTAACTATTGATTGGATGATTGATTGCATAAAATAAATAAAATAAAGCAGAGATTCAGGGTTTTGAAAACAATGGAGAGAGACTGAGATTCCTGAGATTCAAGTGTTTATTCCCCTAATGCCTAACCTAATGTAACATTAAATCTGGGTTCATACGAGTGTGAGGATGCAAAGTGGTATAGAGTTACTCTCGTAGTCACTAACACTAGTGAATATCCACTCTCGTGCGGTAATCACCCAATAAAACAAGAACAATCATCATAAATTCCTAACTACTACCATCTCTCGAACTGGCAATAATCAAGAATCAAATCTCCCTAATAAATTACCCTTTCTCAAGGTGCAACAATTAGGTGCAATTGTGTGTGCCCTAATTTATGCCTAACTCTCGTTCAGACCTGAATATGGCTATGAAGCAAGTAATTCGGGCCCGCTAAAGTACTAGCAACAAGAATGATATATATATATATATATATATATATATATATATATATATATATATATATATATATACACAATTGCAACACAAGTATTTAACCCAAATAATAATGTATTAAAGAAACTGAGAGCTCAGACACATAGGTTCATAAACACTTTTACCCAAGAATCTCTAAAGAATTTAGCCGAGCATGGCTAAATTATACATAGCAAATATAAATAAATAATTACAAATCATCAAAAGAGTACAAGAATGAACCAGACGATTTTCTCGAATCTCCCTAGTCTTCTTGCTTCCCAAGATAACTTGTGGCTCTTGATTTCTCCCTGTCTTGTCTCCAAAGATCTCTGAATCAATATTAGGGTTGAGGAATGTGGGATTTTATAGTAGAAGTCTAGAACCAATTCTGATTGAAATAGAAATTCTATGCAAAATTGGATTGAAATTGTATCTGGACCAAAATTGAAATTTCTTTATTTAAATATTAATTGTCGCCTAATTATATGAATATGCCAATTATATATTTTGGAAATTGTGCCTTTCCAAATTTGGAATGTTATTGCCTTTGCTGAGTACGCCCCATTTGGTCCACTTTGACTCCAAATTTGTCATAGAATTTCCCTTGCTCATAGAATTGACCTACAATGGTTCAAAAACACTAACAAACACAGTAAAACATTCAAAACGAGTGTGAGCCATAAATAAATAATAAAATAAAGGATTATGCAATTAAATCATCAAAATCATGAACGCAAGCCTAATAAATATAGGTAAATCAATACTAAAAATGTGTACAATTAGGCTCACATCAGCCATAGATCTAACTAAAATCAAGAGTCAATATTTGACCACAAACCTCATATAGAAACATGACCTCATTTGATCATATATATATATATATATATATATATATATATATATATATATATATATATATATATATATATATATATATATATATATATATATATATATATATATATATCAGTTCAGGTGCGGGTTTGTGTATCCCATGCGGTTGTGCGATTTTAACGTGCGTCAGTTTTGTACTTAAGGTGCGTGTGTGTGTACTTAATGTGAGTAGTGTTGAAAACTTAAGGTGCATGAGTTTTGTGCTTAAGGTGCATGAGTTTTGTGCTTAAGGTGCGTGAGTTTTGTACTTAAGGTGTGTGTGTAACACCCCTAATTTTTATATAATTAAAAAGCTTATAAAATAAAGCCAGGCTAATTATAATTATCCAAACAGAGCATAAACTAAACATAATTGTCGGGGTGTTATGCCACACCTAGGTTTGAGAACCTAGATGCACAGGCTAAGACTAACCAGGCAGGTGTAATCCATAAGTCGATAAACAAAACACAATCCACGGCACGGAAGCCGACTACTATATCTAGGGCTAACTAGACTAAGACTACGAGTCCATCTAGCGCGCTCCTCAGCTAATGATTATCACCTGAAAAACATATCGTAGCAATCGTCAGCGAATAATGCTGGTAACTCACTCCAACGCGTTAAGTACAATATAAGTAGATATAAGAAAATCATTTTGAAACCGGAATACATATATAACCTAAGCAACTCTAGCTTGCTTAGGTTATAAACCAAGAGCAAAACTCGAGACATAACAACAGGCTTGATATCATGGAATAATCATAAAGACTAACATGCATCCTAAGAACACGATACAAGGCATCATAGACGAATGAACTCATAAATAACAAATAGAGACAACGAAGGGATTCAAAGACAGTCAATTAACAAGTAACCATCAAGTCACACAAACCATCTTCCAACCTTATACCAAGTTCCAACCTTTGCACTCCACTCCATCCTTATTTCAGTTCCAACCTATACCTCCAGTCGTCCCCCCACCTAGCCCCCACTGGTACTAAGGTAGAAATCTGGCTCGGGGTTCGCTCGTGGAACTCAAAACCATGTCCAAACACGTTTCAACACGTAACAACAATATCACGAATTCAATTAACGAAGACTAGACCAAGAATCATTCCAATTACATTCTAACACGATTCTTAAACATGCCAAGACTCGACATCAATCACATAACGGTTCAGGAGTATCCGGAACCATAAGAACATCAAGAAATCTATATGCAAAGCCCTAAAGACAATTTCTAGGCTAGACTCAACACCCGAACATGCATAAACCCACCCAACAACACCAAGAATATCATAACACGAGATTCACGATATAAACCCTAGGGACAAGTTCTAGACATAATTAAATACAAGATCACACATGTAATCAATCACAATATCAAGATCATCAAGATTATCAAATAATCACAATATAAACCCTAGGCAAGGCTCTATCAAGACTCAATAACAGAATCATACACACAATTATCAAAGGAGCCAATAATCAAGATATAGCAAGGAAAATAGGTTTTGTAAGACGTGGATTACCTCTTAGCCTTACTCAATATCCTTGACTACTAAGGTTCTTTCTTAAGATCTCCCTTCAATGGATCTTCCTAGGTTCGGTTGGCAAATTCCTTTGCTAGGTTTCCTCGGGGATTGTCTCGTGTGGTGGAATTGATAATGGTAGAGTTTCTAAATGCTTTCTAATCCCCTATATATAGATTCAGGAGTCCCAACTAGAATCTGAATAGTAAAGGCTCACTTTCTATTCTTAATAGAATTAAAGACTTGATTAAGGATAAGGGTCTATGATCCATTGTGGACCATACTAATTAATTAATGGGGATTCTTTTTTTTTTTTTTTTTTTTTTGGAAAATTAATGGGGATTCTAGTTTAATTAAATCATTTTTAATTATATGTTAACGGAATTAATTCTACGATTAGTCCGGATATGGAGGCCGTAACACGGGGTGTTACAGTGAGTCTTGTGCTTAAGGTGCGTGAGTCGTGTGCTTAAGTTGCGTGAGTTTGTGCTTAAGGTGCGTGAGTTTTGTGCTTAAGGTGCGTGGGTTTATGTTCTGAAGGTATTTTGTTTGTGTGCTTAATGTGCGTGTGTTGTGTGCTTAAAGTGCGTTAGTTTAATGCTTAATGTGAGTCCAACCGCACAACCGCACGGGAAGCCCCCTCTCGCACCTGATCCATTCCATATATATATATATATATATATATATATATATATATATATATATATATATATATATATATATATATATAGGAAAAACTTCAAATGCGGCGACACCCTCCCGTGCGGTCGTGCGGCGGTTTTCAAAATACACCAATAGTGTTAACAATATGCACCAATAGTATAAGAGAAACACACAACAATGAAATGTAAAAATACACAACACAGCCAAAAAATACACTATATACCTCCCTACCACTAATGGTGTATTTACGAACATTGTGTAGTGCTTTTAGTCATACCTAATGGTGTGTTGTTGGTGATTCTTACCTAATTTTTGTGTGTTTTTTGTATTGCATTTTCTAACGTTGATGGTGTATATTTTGCTTAACTATTGGTGTATTCTGAAAACTGCCACACGACCACACGGGAAGGGGTCGCCGCACCTGAACTCGAATATATATATATATATATATATATATATATATATATATATATATATATATATATATATATATAAGGAAGGGTTCAGGTACGGGTATAGCTTCCCGTGCGGTTGTCTGGTTAGATTTGAGTCGTTGATCAAATTTATATCAACGGCTCAAATCAATGAAAATTTAAAAAAAAAAAAACAAAAAACGCGCGCGTGTCTGGAAGAAAGAAGCATAAGGTAAAAATGGCGCACCTTAAGTGATAGAAACACGCACCTTAAGTGATAGAAACATGCACCTTAAGTGATAGAAACACGCACCTTAAGTGTTAGATCTTAAGCACAAACTCACGCACATTAAGTACAAAACCCACACACATTAAGCACAACCTCACGCACATTAAGCACAAAACCCAGGCACTTTAAATATTAACTCACAGACGTTAAGTTTCAACAACTACTGACATTAAGCACAAACTCACGCACATTAAGTACAAATCCCACGCACATTAAGCACAACCTCACGCACATTAAGCACAAACCCCACGCACTTTAAGTATTAACTCACAGATCTTAAGTTTCAACAACTACTGACATTAATCACTAACCTCACACACATTAAGCACAAACCCTACGCACATTAAGCACAAACTTCACTCACATTAAGAACAAATCTCACGCACTTAAGCACAAAAGTCCACGCTTTAAGTTTAACAACTACTCACGTTAAGCACAACCTCACGCACATTAAGCACAAAACTCACGCACCTTACGCACAAATCTCACGCATCTTATATACAAAACTCACGCACATTAATCACAGATCCGCTCACCTTAATTTTGACCTAGATGCAAAAATTACAAAATTGCCACCACGTTTTTTTAAAAATTTTTAGCAATCCTAGACGTTGATTTAAGCGAGATGAATGGCCCAGATTAAACCGCACAACCGCACCTGGGCACCCTAACCGCACAGGAACTTAATATATATATATATATATATATATATATATATATATATATATATATATATATATATATATATATATATATATATATATATATACACACACACACACACCATATACCTCCCTACCACTAATGGTGTATTTACGAACACTGTGTAGTGCTTTTAGTCATACCTAATGGTGTGTTGTTGGTGATGCTTACCTATTTTTTTGTATTGCATTTTCTAATGTTGATGGTGTATATTTTTCTTAACTATTTATGTCTACTGAAAACCGCCGCACGACTGCACGGGAAGGGGTCGCCGCACCTGAACTCGAATATATATATATATATATATATATATATATATATATATATATATATACACACACACACACATAAGCATTGATTTTAAATTTTAAATTTTAATTCTCGTAAAATTTATAAAAGTCTAAAGAAAACTCAACATGATCCATGTAAATTACAACTAGAGCAGTCAAAACAGGTTTAACCCGGCCTGATCGGCCAAAAAGGTGGGGCGGGGTTTAAATTTTTTGGTGGGCTTTTTAGCCCACCCCACCAAAATGGCGGGCTTGGCGGTTCGGTGGGGCCCGCCAAGCCCACCTAGTATGTATATATTATTAATATTTGTGTATATATATACATAATTATATATATATATATATATATATATATATATATATATATATATATATATATATATATATTAGTTTATTTATTTATATTCAAAAAAATATATTAGTAAGTAGTACATTGTATAAATTATTTGTTATTGCCTCATAGATTAATATATTATGTATTTGATTATTTATTAGGACTTATTACTATATACTGGCTAGTCTTTTCTATGCGCGATGCGCAAAATCATATGTCCAATATTTATATATTTTTAAAATAACTAACAAATCCCTACTAATTAAAATCTATATGAAATAAAATTTATTTATTCTATTAATGCAATATATAATGTCTACAAATATTATTATCATTAAAGAATATAAAAAAAAAATATGGTAGATGCATGTGCATGTTAACAATAATGAAAAGATAACGGAAGTTATAACGATAGGGGTATTTTGTCCAAAAAATTATATACGACAACTCTAAAAGCACAATGTACAAAATGATTAGCATTAAAAATATAGACATAAATGAGGGATATAACTTTGATTGAGACTTATTATGTTTTTAGATTAGATTAGATTATTTATTATTGTGTTCAACAAATCACAAATGCATTAATATATACTTAAACTATTCAAATTATTTTAGTATACACTTATTAACGTTTTCATATTAATTTTTATTTAAATTTAAAACTTTTTGAATTTGGCAGGCCCCGCCAAGGTCCGTGGACCTAAGGCGGGCCGAGCCGAGTTATTTTAAGTCCGTATTTTGACAGGTTTTTTAGCTCGTCCCCCGCTATATGGTGGGCTTTGACGGGTCCCGCTCTGTCAGCCTGTTTCAACAGCTCTAATTACAACTAAAATTCATAGAAGAAACGATATACATTGCACATTATGTTGAAATAC